CATGTTTGGTATGACGGGGATTCGAACCCGCGACCCACAGATTGCGAGTCGAGCACGCTAACCACCTGGCCATGCCGGGCTTAGCTAGTTGTAAATAAAAAACATAAGGATATTCCAGTCGTTTTAAATATAGTTGCAGATTAAATCTTTGAATAAAAATTAGATATTTTTTTCAACGTGTGCCCTTTCGTATTCATATTATTTTCTTTTTGTATTAAAATGGGCTTAACGTACAGGTCAGAGGTCCTAATGCTTAGTCAAAGCCATTCGTACTTTAGAACAACTGACCACAAGCAGGTAGTCAGTAAACAGGAACAGTCGCCGTTACGGCTACTCCTAGTCAGATAGCGGGATCTTAAATAATTATTCATTCTGTGGTATTCTTAATTATAAAAAAATAAGATTGTGTAAAGTTATTTTTATCCAATCCCTTGTTATAGAAAGTAAATGATTTTAATGTTAGTTTTAACCAGTGTTAATGTTTTCTACTTGTGGATGAGAGAAGGAGATTTTATTGTTCCTTTACTTTTTTATTTAACACACGCACAGATATCTATACAGATATAATAGTACATTCTGTTGTCCGTTGTATGTCCATGTAACTACTTCGCAGCGAGTGTATGAATCTTCACCCAAATTGGTATAAAGGGTCATTGGGTCCATGCGGTGGTTCATACAAATTTTCAGTTTTGCGGTTTTTATTCACGTTTTTTTTACCACTACCTCGCCCCCTGTGGGTGGATTTTCACCAAATTTGGTGTGAAGATTCATTAGGTCCACGAGGAGATGTACACAAATTTTCAGTTTTGTATTTTGCGGTTTTTATGGGCGTTTTTACCACTACTTTGCCCCATTTTGATTGATCTTCATCAAATTTGACATAAAGTTTTGTTGGGTCCATGCGGATATACATGCAAACTTGCGGTTTCACATTTTGTGTTTTACGTTTTGTATGGGTCTTTTTGCGTTTTTTTACAATTACATATAAACGAAACAGCTTTTCATCTTCTAAGATAACCTTTCATTAATCATTAATTTACATAGCTTCCATCCAGGAGACGGGTACTCCAGCTAGTAAACAATATATATATAATTCAGCAGTTTAGAGATAAACGCATTACTGTTTAGGCATATTTGACTTGTGGCGACCCTGGTGGCTTAAATAATATTTCCTATTTTCAGTATATCTCACATTTAATAATCGTTAGTTGTATCAACATTTGTGTGTCTAAGCCTGAATAAAGAAAGACGTCTTTTAAAGATTTATCCCTATATCGGTGATAAAAGTAGATACTATAACTATGCTATACTATACTACACTATATTCAGCCACTCTTATTTTGCCAGACATGTCACAACCAGTGGGGTCCTTAATGGATTAATGTTTTTATTGTTGTTAAACACAAATATGCACGATAGGCTATATGCGCTGTGCCCACCACGAGTATCGAAACCCGGTTTTAGCGTTATAAGCCTTCAGGCTTACCGTTGAGCCACTGGGGGGGGGGGGGAGCAATTCCGGGTAAGGGAAAGGGACGAATTGCCCAAATTTAAAATAATTTGTAAAAGTAAGCCTAACCAGTCTTCGTTTTTTATCCTTTTGGGTGAACTTGTACTGTTTAAGACAGCAAAATGTAGGGATTGAAAATGTGAAAAGCAACATCTAAAAACCCCAAAGAAACCTTAGTGCTTTAGAAAGATGGACTTTTCTCTATCAGGATGACGATAAAAATGGGTTCATCTGTTTAAATAGCAAGGGTTTTATTGTTCTTTTTTGTTAGTCGATATTATCTTCTGATCAGAGCAAGTTATCTATTTAGGTCAAGACTAAAAAAAAAGGTAAAGAGTACAGCTAATTAAGGATTCTCTTCTTACGTTTTTGCTTATAAAAAGTAGAATGCATTGTTTCATTAGCTATATTTGTCCGAGTTTTCGCTGTTTCAAATGTTTTGCCAGTGGCAATTGAATCCTTTTTTTCTTTTAACTGGCTATCACACATGTACATGTGTCCAAATGACTACCCAGAGAAGGGCCGAAACAACAGTTAGTAAAGTCTCATTAAAAATATGAAAATACCACATTGCATAAAAATGGGCAATAAAATAATATCAGGAACACTGCAATACATGTGTCCAAATGACTACCCAGAGAAGGGCCGAAACAACAGTTAGTAAAGTCTCATTAAAAATATGAAAATATCACATTGCATAAAAATGGGCAATAAAATAATATCGGAGCCAACAGTAAAACGCCTTTCACTGTATGACACTAAAGGTGTCAGGAGAAGCAAACATTACATTCACTGTGGGCCAAAATAAGTTATAATAGACGACGTGATGTTACCGACTAAGTTATCTGTATCATTATAAATACATATATTTTGTACATAAAGTGCTTAAGGAAAAGGTGTAACGATCGATTACCAATCGTTGTCATGGTTAATAGTGTACACGGTCAAATTTCACCAGGACAACGACATTAATACATATATTTTGTACATAAAGTGCTTAAGGAAAAGGTGTAACGATCGGTTACTAATCGTTGTCATGGTTAATAGTGTATTCGGTCAAATTTCACCAGGACAACGACATTAATACATTATTTTGGTAAGCACATATTCATCAATAATATGTATTTAAATAGATATAGGTATATCATGACGTCCTTGTCAAGTTGTAATTGATATAATAGTCTGAGGTAATTTTGACCAACCATTTTTCGATTTGTATCACTCACGTGTCTTCAAAACTTTTTTTTTAACTTTAATTAAATGTTTTCCGTTTCGGGTTTTGAAAATATATCTCTGGGCCTACTCGACACACACACACATGCAATAACGTTAAATGACCTTGTGAAAATATACTTGGGAAGAACATATTTAGGTTGATTATATACTATGGTTCCTCGTATAAATCAATAAGCCTATAAATATATGTATGAAAACAGTTTATACGTGAAAAGAGGTAGCGAAATTTAAAACTTAATACGTTCATCTCTCCCCCCCTCTCCAGTAGCTCAACGGTAAGTCTGAATACTTATAACACTACAAACTGCGTTTCGATACCCGTGGTAGACACAGCACAGATAACCCATTGTTAGCTTTGCACTTAACAGCAAACAAACAACAACAACAACAAAAGCATCCATTGTCTCAACGGTACATTTAAAGGCTTACACTGCTAAAAACCGGGTTTCGATACCCGTGGTGGGCAAGCACAGATAACTCATTGTGTAGCTATAAACAAACAGAATAAATTCAGGCGCAGCTGATTGAGCTTTTATAGAAATATAGTGTTTTAGGTATCCAAACCTCTGTCTATTAAAACGATATCCCTTTACGAACGATTAAGTTTTCATTTTAGAAAAAAACTGAAATATAAAGATGAAAATCGACACAGTTTAGGGTTATTAAACGAAAAGATTAAGTAAAGATCATAGAAGTAGCAGTAGAAAAAATGGGGAATATGATGGTTTAGTCACGAAAATAAAACTAAAAATAATCCTCGTGGCGTTCATTCACTTTTCTCCTCTCGTACTGAGGTGATCATAAAACCGAGAACAACCAAAATCTCCCGCTCGGAGAATACATTTAGACATTACCATGTAGCTTGTCGTGATTGGGGTCACGAACGGTAGGGCGCGTACATTAAGATGGGAGTACAGAGAGGTGTGTTGGAAAGTGTGTAAGTTGACATCCTACGGAGCGCGTTTGTTCGTCTGTGATGTATAGGTAGGACCAGCCAAAACGCGTGTAAGCATCGCTGACTATATGATGGTGTAAGGTATATTTAACAAGCTCAAGTTTGATTTTTATATCGTAATGGATTGAGAGACTTCTAAAATATGGAGACTTTAGAGCATTAACATCACATTAGAACATTCTGGAAAGATTTCAATATATCGAGGTGTGACAACCGCGTTGACTTTCGATTGGTTTCCGTATATTCCGTTATTCTGATTCTCACGTTCAGTTGAGTAATACTGTAGATGATGAAACTGGAAGCGCAGAATTTAATACAAGTTCGCAGCTAGTTTTAAGCTTGGAAACGACAGAAAAACAAATATGGGCCGAATGTTTTCTCTGCTAAAAAAATTACACGAGCTTAGTTTTAGAGATAAAGTTCCTTTCAGTTTCTGTAAACATCATTACTCATCGGAGTACTAGTAATATTATTCTTTTATATACTAATTTGGGTTAGCGGGGAAGAAACATCGTGTGTGTGTGTGAGAGAGAGAGAGAGAGCGCTGTTATTAGTGACTTCCCTATGTGGTTTCTAGTTTGTTTTGTTTTCCCGGAAATGGTTGTTAATTACCGAGTCGTTAAAAACCACGGGAATAGCTTTAGATAAGAGTGAAAGCCAGGCGGCGAGCAGGCCTAGTGACAAGAAAACGTCCCTACGCTTGAGAACAGGGTCGTTTACTTTCCTAAACTAAATATAGGACCAGCTAGAACAGAGAACACTCTACGTCACTTTCTTAGGAACTTAGTGCTGAGTAAATACATTGGTAAGCCTGTTCTGCCCTCGCCCTAGGCCTTTCGGTTACGTTTCACGAAATGTTATACCTCGCGTCCAAGTCCGTGTCGGCGGAGTCAACGAATAGAAATATACATAAGGCCGACTGAGTAAAAGTTTGTCTCGTTTTGAGTTGAGTAACGCGGGGGGGTTTGGTTATTGCATCAGAACTCTCCAGTCTTTTCCAAGAAAGATGAGTAATATTAAAAAAAAGAGAGGGGGAAGGATCGAACCCAGAGATATTTTGCAAGTGATACAGTTGTTGTGATTTTCGGTCGAGGGTGACGTAGAAGAGCTCGTATACGTTTTGTATCATGTTGTGGTGAAAAAAGTCGGATAACTTAATATTTCAAGGAACTATGTACGGTGGGTAGTTAAAGATCCATCTGAATTTTTATCATGTTGTGGTGAAAAAAGTCGGATAACTTAATATTTCATGGAACTATGTATGGTGGGTAGTTAAAGATCCATCTGAATTTTTATCATGTTGTGGTGAAAAAAGTCGGATAACTTAATATTTCATGGAACTATGTACGGTGGGTAGTTAAAGATCCATCTGAATTTTTATGGAACCTTGAGTTACAAGATTGCCAGTTGACACCACTATTTGGTAAGTTTTGAGTTCAATTTTCTGAAACAACTGAAAAGTTAACGCCATTTGAATGTTATTACGCACTTATGGAACCCGGTTTTACTTGTGATACATTTTTGACTGATGCTACACCGTGTTCTAAAAATTAGGTTTCACATGAGTCATTGAAATTAGTTTATACAGGATAAGTTGTCTTGTGTTTGCAAGCCAGTAAAGATCGATAAAATAACCTATAAATTGTAAAGGGAAACACCGAAACTTACAATACTTTTGATAAAGACCCTGTGGAATACAGGTTAGAAACAGCTGAATTTTATACAAATTTTGACTGGGATATTCGGATTACCAGTAAAAAAGAGTGAATGTTGCCTAAACAGCGTGGATTACAGGTAAGTAACATTGAATTTTGACCGGGACAATATGGATTACGGGAAAAAATATTGAATTTTGACTGGAACAGTGTATGTAACAGGTAAGAAACAACTGAATTTTATACATATTTTGACTAGAACAATGCGGATTACTTGTGAAAAACAGTGATATTTGACCGGGACATTGTAATTAACAGGTAATAAACATTGAATGTTGACCGAGACAGTGTGGATTACGGGTAAAAAATATTGAATTTTGACCGGGACAATGTGGATTACGGGAAAAATATTTGACTGGAACAATGCGGATTACTTGTGAAAAACAGTGACATTTGACCGGGACAGTGTAGTTAACAGGTAATAAGCATTGAATTTTGACTGGAACAATGCGGATTACTTGTGAAAAACAGTGACAATTGACCGCGACAGTGTAGTTAACAGGTAATAAACATTGAATTTTGACTGGAACAATGCGGATTACTTGTGAAAAACAGTGATATTTGACCGGGACAGTGTGGTTAACAGGTAATAAACATTGGATTTTATACCAGTTTTGTTTGGAACAAAAAACTCAGATATTAGTATTATTTTTTTTTGTACCGTACAGATAAAGTGCGTAATATCGATCTGATTTTCATGTTGATATACACTTTTGTTAAATATTTACCAAGCATAATTATTGATTCCTTTCTGTTCACAGCCACTTTTCTTCTGTAAGGATATACTGATTCTTTCTCTTCAAGTTGTCATTCTTTGGATACGGATGTGACGTACGAGGGAGTCTAAACGCCATCAACAATGTTAGACGTAATACGGAGTTTAAAGAGTTTATTGAAGACAAGTCGTGTACGCATTGACAACAATGTTTTTCGACTACACTACACAATAACGGTGGTCGTATTATTGGCATTCACCATTGTCGTCTCAATGAAACAGTTCGTTGGGGATCCTATCGACTGCTTGAAAAGCCGAGAAGTTACAGACACCTTTATTAATACGTTCTGTTGGATTCACACAACTTTCACCATGCCCAGCGCTTATGACAAAGTGGTGGGTAAAGAAGTGCCATACCCAGGGGTTGGATCTATCAACGAATCCACGGACGAATTGAAATACCATAAGTACTATCAGTGGGTATGTTTCATGTTGTTCTTTCAAGCTGCCTTGTTCTACATTCCAAGAGGGTTGTGGAAACTGTGGGAAGGAGGAAAGATTCAGGCCTTAATGATGGATCTAGATATCGGAATGTGTGGAGAGGCAGAGAAGAAACAGAAAAAGAAGTTACTTGTAGACTATTTGACCTCCAGCCAGCGCCATCACGACTGGTATGCCGCTCGCTACTTCATCTGTGAGAGTCTGGCCTTCGCTAACGTGGTTGGTCAGATGTTCTTGATGAATCGTTTCTTTGATGGGGAGTTTCTAACCTATGGACTAGAAGTGATCCGCTTCTCAGAAATGGACCAAAATGATCGCTTAGATCCCATGATACGGGTATTCCCGCGTGTTGCAAAGTGTAAGATGTATAAATACGGTTCTTCGGGTAACCTCGAAACTCACGATGCCATGTGTCTTCTTCCTTTAAATATTGTAAATGAAAAAATATACATCTTCTTATGGTTCTGGTTCATAATGCTAGCAGCACTGACGGGGATGGTTTTGGTGTGTCGAGTTATCCTTATTGCCTGTCCACCCGTCAGGGTGTATTATCTCAATTTCCGTTTTCGCACAGTCCATCTAGACCATTTACACACCGTAGTCCGAAGAGGGTCATTAGGAGACTGGTTTTTAATTTACATGCTCGGTCAAAACATTGATGTTGTCATCTTTAAGGAAGTCGTGGCAGACTTGGCCAATCGTATGACAAGAGCACCAAAAGATTCCACAGCGTGACCATTTACCAAAGTTATCCATCCAGAACGTTTACAATTTCAAATAACGTACATTTTAAACCTTATTATATATATATATAAAAATGCATCAGCTCAGGTCAGTCGAACTTTTCAAGTCTGTTGCTTGGATATTTGTATTTTCAACCTTTGTTTAATATGTAAGAAACTAAACAACTTATTACTTTAGCAACGTCTCAATATATAAAATCTTAACTATGAGTAACTAAGCAACTTTTGTGTTAGTAGCAATCAAAGATACGAAATATGTAGAATGAGATAACTAAGAAAAAGTTTTTGACCATTTTCTCTCGCTATGGCATGGGGGGGGGGTATTTTATCTAAAATATAAAAAAAAAGTCACAACTGCCACGATGGCTAAGGGTTACACTGGTACGTTGTTCAAAAATAAAAAAATGTAGTACTGATGCAATGTGAGAGGGACATTCTCAGTCGTTGAAAAAGTGAGGGGGCATGATCCCCTCGTAAATTATGCTTATGTCTTTATTCAGTGAGAGATGGGTGGTTCTTGGGGTCTATTTTTTCCCTATATTTCAAATGAGTTTCTTTCACTGAAAAAACAAACAAACAAAAAAGTGAAAAAATAAATTAAATTGTTGATTCGATTAGATTTCTTGCACAAAATTACAAAAATGCCATTTGCGCATATCCTTCCCTCATTTTGAGTTGACAAACTGAAGGGAAGACAGTTAGTCTGTAGCACACATCGTGTCACTCTGATGTCGCATTCACGGCTCGAAACCTCGGAACGCGTTTTTGTTGGCCAGTCGCGACCCTGTAAGTAGCTTTCGTACAAGAAACATCTGGCCTGTTCTTCAAGATTGATAACGTAAGTAAATTAATATGTAGAATAATACACGGACTTTTCTCTACGTTAAAATACTTTTATTTGCGAGATTGTGGTCTTCTTATCAGAGCCTTCATAGGGAAAGAATGTTGCCCGATGAGCTCAGAGCCTTCATAGAACGAGAATGTTGCCCAATGAAGACTCTGGTAAGAGAACCAAAAGCTCTCAAATAAAAGAATAGTTATTTAACGTAGAGAAAAGTCAGTCTATAATTCTACAAATATATGGCTTACTAAGCACTTACTAAATAAATATATAAAAAATGTCTAAACTGTTATTTATTTGCAAAGCCTGTTCGCGACCCTTTCACACATCTGACACCTTAGTTTTGGGTCGCGATCCATTATTGGTTTAAAAATCTTACCATAAACTTTACTCGTAAGAAAAGGCTTCATAAGTTGTCTGTTGTTATTTTGTATTAATGTTGCATAAACGTTGTTGCTATATATTTTAATTATTTTGTGTTAAGTTTGTTATATTTTACTATTATGAACGTACATTGTGTTTATCACACGTGACTAGTATTAAGACGCATGCAAAATTCAAAGAGTACAAGCTATTACACTTGAAATTTCTAACTTATTTAGCTAGGATTAAAATTATTTTGAAGTGAATTTTTGGCAAAAAAGAAACAAAGGATCCTCGTGTTATGTTGTTAATATTTAATGAAGTTTATGAGCGTTAATTAACATTGAGAAACCTCTTTTTTTAGCTTTGATATCAAAAGTGAGGGCAAAGCTACACAATGGGCTATGTACGATCTGTTCATCGCGAGTAATCGAATCCCGAATTTGAGCATTGTAAGTCCTTAAACTTACTGATGATCTATCGTGAGACAGGCACTTTGAGAAGCGAACTGGAGTCCAGTATTCTATTATTTTCTGTACAGATAATTTAAACTATATTAATTATAGATTTTAGAAATAGAGGAGTTATTAGAGGTGTTATATTTGAGAACATTTCAAAATATTTTAGTAAAATGAAACTATTCATGTTATATCTTAATTAGATGATATTTGAAGAGGAAATTTTCGTTTTCCTTTTAATTATTGTAAACGTTTTATCATCTATAATGTAAATCTCGATGATATCAATGATTTGATACTATATTGTTATATATATAATACAGATAATAATTTGATCAGTATTGTTGATTTTACACGTATATTATTATCCAGTAAACAATTTGTAAAAATGCGTGTAAAATCGTCTATACTGATCTAATTAATATTTTAGGTAATAATGTACACGTAAAATCATCAATACTGATCTACCTACAAATTGTTTACTGGATAATAATATACGTGTAAAATCGTCTATACTGATCTAATTAATATTTTAGGTAATAATGTACATGTAAAATCATCAATACTGATCTACCTCAGGCTTGAAGAAACGTGATTGCTTATCTATACGAAATCACAAATTTTGATCACTTTAGCTTTTTTATATCAGATTTTGTTTTTGAATTTCGCGCAAAGCTGCACGAGGGCTATCTACGCTAGCCGTCCCTAATTTAGCAGTGTAAGACTAGAGGGAAGGCAGCTAGTCATCACCACCCACCGCCAACTCTTGGGCTACTCTTCTACTAACGAATAGTGGGATTTACCGTCACTTTATAACGCCCCCACGGCTGAAAGGGCGAGCACGTTTGGTGTAACAGGGATTCGAACCCGCGACCCGCAGATTGCGAGTCGAGCGCCCTAACCACCTGGCCATTCCGGGCCTCTTCAAGTCTGAATAAACCCTTTTCCATATTCTACGATCGAATTATACGAGGGGAGGAGAGATAAGAGTTAGTATTATAAGTTAAGATATAATGAGGGCAACATTGAAGGTATGTGTAACCTCGTTTCTGTTGAAATGAATTAAACATTGTTTCTCCGAATATTCACATATATTTTGATTTATCCATACAGCTTCAGATCCTCAATTCCTTAAGTTTGTTTTGAAGTATCCGGTTTTATGACGCTATTAGCTTTTAGGTTAGGTCATCAGTGTGAGGTGAAAATAATATATGATGTATAACAAAAATGCAAAATAAAATATAAAGTAATGGTGAAAAAGTCGCCAAATAAAAATAATTTTTTTGATAAAACACGAAAACAACGTTTCGGGCAACATTATGTTTCCAATGAGAATGAAACTATTAATAGAAGGGTTAGGTTGGAAGAACAAGTAACACGTGGCTCGAAGGCTCTAGAACAAGTTCCTAAGCTACAAAATAGCTAAGGGAAGTAACATAAAAATAAATAACAATATTAATAATAAAAAAATATAAAGATGTTTCGGGATAAATATAACAAATCATAATAAATAAATTAAATAAAAAAAAAGAAAACAGTAGAACATGAATACAGGCAACAATGCAATGAAGTGATTTAACACGTGGATCGGATAATATTGTTTAACTGGATACAGCAATAAAAGTTATGTGAACTTAATAGGGGTGAAAGGAAATGGATATCAAGGTAATAAAAGTGGGTGACTAAAGTGGATGGGTTAGAGAGGAAAAAAAAGAGTACGTACCTTGAACACAAGAGTTGTACACACAAATTATCAGTATAAAAAAATATAGATAAAGTGTAGGGCGGGAAAATGGAGAGGATAGAGTTAAAAGAAAAGAGAACTCTTCATTCATTCCAATAAAAAAAATCAAACGTTTTTCCAAGAGTTTTCTTCGCGTGACAGTGGATGAAGCAAGTGTGAGACCAAGTACGGAGAAGTCAGATATGCAATGCGAAGGGTAATTAAAATGTTTACCCGTGAGTTTTGTGGTTCCATTATTTCTTATATAAGAGAGATGTTCACGTGAATGATCCCCTAAGCAACGACCTATTTGACCAAAGATTATCATGCTACACTTTTTTTACAGCACACACAGTCGATCAGGCTTGTTGAAATGAATGACTGATGTATTTGAAGTTTTCCATTGGGTAAAGGTATGGGTGTTAACATATTGGCAGGTGACGTATTTCTTTTTTTGTGACAAAAGGCTGTATCGTGGCTCACACTAGGGGTAGATTTCTGGATGATAGTTTGGAATAAAACGTTTTATTTTTATCGCGTATATATAACTGACAAGTGGACGTTGTTTTCATGTTTTATAAATAAATCTATTTTAATTTGACGAGTTTTTCGCCACTACTTTATATTCTATTCTACATGTCGATATTATCTTATTACTAGAACAATTATTTGCATCCAGTAATGAAGCTAATGAATAAGAAATAGATAATTTATTGGTGAAAATCCTACACATTGTTTGTTATAGTCTAAGCGGTGAGTTTGTGGTGCATGCCCATAAATATGCCTAAATTAAAAAGAACACCACAACATTAAATGTGCCAAATAAGTTTTATAAACATATATATATATAAACACTTATCACAACATTTTTCGACGATAGTAGACTCCGCCATCATCAGAGTATAATTTTGGATTTGGTTTTTTTTTTAGGATTTCGCGCAAGCTACACGAGGGCTATCTGCGCTAGCCGTCCCTAATTTAGCAGTGTAAGACTAGAGGGAAGGCAGCTAGTCATCACCACCCATTGCCAGCCAACTCTTGGGCTACTCTTTTACCTACGAATAGTGGGATTGACCGTCACATTATAACGCCCCAACGGCTGAAAGGACAAGCATGTTTGGTGGGACGGAGATTCGAACCCACGACCCTCAGATTGCGAGTCTAACTACTTGGTCCATGCTGGGCCCAATTTTATTTGGAGTATAATTGGTGGAGTATAACTATTTTATCTCTTATTGACCAATTGGCTATTTGTGCACTGTCCACATCATTGTAAGTCCACGAAGTTACACTGAATCACCGGACGATGAGAAGTATATATCGACCAAAAATATTGACCGTGGTGTCTTTTTTCTAAAATAAATTTATGTACATTTTTGAAAGTTATGGTGCTCGTTTTGATTTACTTTATTTACACGAATGAACGGTTCATTTAAGTTGCTTTACTTATGCACATGTATCATTTTTTTAAATTATAATTCGTAAATATATTTAAAACTTTTTTCTTTGTATAAATATACATGTATGTCAATGTTCTAAGTTTAGTAACTCGCCCCTAGCAATAACTTAAAACTTGACAGTTTCTTGTTTTGCCCAATATAAGTTCGGTCTCGCGACTTTTCACTCAAAGTTCCCTCATTTCCAAATACTACTTTAATGTTGGCTTGTTGACAACTGGACTAATTAACTCCAACTCACAGATACAAACAAAGTATAGAAAAAAA